TTTTTTTTCAAAACAACTATATGTATGATTCAATTGTTCAAAACAATATGTATTATATATAATACAGATATAATAATATATAAATTCATATATATATATAGAAATATATCTATCATGATACCAGACTTGAAATATGTAATTAATCACTTTCCCGGACCTTCATGTCTCATCACCAACAAGTCGACACGACGTCCCACGCCTGCACCGCGATCGAAATCTTCGGTGGTTCGGTGTCAACGGCCTGAGATCATCGAAAAGGCGAGGTCGCTGTGGTGAGTAGGTCACTGTTCTTACGTTGAAAAGAAAAAGCGGAGTCTCTGTAGGTTGAATACCCTCTGGTAATTTAACATGAATTAACTACAGATAGATCACCTATATATAAACCATAGTTATTGGACTTATAAACCAACTTAGCTATTGAAAATGGTCATTTATAGTGAGTTTTCCCACTAAAAATTGTGATTTTCCATAGTTATGTTAATTTACCAGAGGGTACGTGTAGTTACACCAAAATTCAAGGTGTCGATGACCAACATTGCCGAGACTGCCATATCTTCGGAATGATCTACGATTTTCAGCTGGACATCTATTGTTGCTTTGATTTCACTCAATCCCTGTTTCGGTCTGTTAAAAAAAAAACATGAAAGCCCATTCTTACCATGGCATGTTGTATCACAAAAAACTGATGTTTGTTGATATCCATGAAATACCCTGCTGTTTGCTGTTGGAAATGGTGGAAGTCCAGACCCCTCAACCCCACGCCTCTGCTCCTGATGTGCCCTGGCAGTCGGCAGGCAGTGGTAGGAGGCAGCCAGTAGGATGCAGTGTCCAATGATCATTAACTATAATGGGATCATGTTAATGTGATAAATTGTTAATTGATTTAATTGTCAACTGTATAATAATCAATATATGGATACTTGATGATGTCTATACATATTAATGTCATGAGTCATGCCTGGGATATTTATACATAATATGATGATATTAATATGTTAATGCTAATGTCATACCTGGATAAGTATACAATTTGCATGATAAACAACCATCAAACCAGCGGCTCTTTCCGCTTTGGCTCCCGCCTCCCCAAGCCAACTGTCCGCGCGAGTCGGGGGGTAATACCTGTCGCTCCATTGGGAAATACCTATCGCGTGGAAGTTTCATGGATTTTTCACATGTTTGATTGCCTATACGGCAAACACTCATGGGGCTTGTGACAAATCGCCAAAGAATTGGGATTAGTTCTGCTACTCATATATTTTTGAAGTCTTGACTGCAACTGTGATCCATGCCATGGAAATCTTCAGGGACAAAATTCTGCATGTGTTCCTAGTACCGAAACCATCTTGGAAGAATCTTTCCATTGCTGGCCATTGTCGTTTAACGAGCAAAATCCGCATGGCTCCCATCCCACAACGTCATTATTCTTTCGAAATTCTCTGCTGCCTCAACATCCAGTAACAAAATTGAATTGTGTGCTAAAACTGAGGTTGGTTTCGCATTATTGAGACCAACTATAGTCGATTAACTAGCAAGAAGTGATAGTACTAATAGAATAGACAAAAAAAGAGGTTGTGAACTTTGGTACACTAGAGATATAATAGATATAATAGATATATAATAGATATCACTTACAATCAATATAAATAGTTAGTACAGTACTACTACAATCTATCACGTTTATTTACAGTAACTTCCCTATTGAGAAAGAATCTGGGGAAGCACTCTGTTTTCATCTACCAACCTCTGGGGCTCTGTGTCCAAACCTGGATCCCGATATTTCTGACTATCCTATTTTTTTTTGTCTTAGCTCTTGCTTTGGTCTCAAAGATTTCCCTGTTGCTTCTCCTGACTTGTTCATACTCTTCAACACACATGCATATTGGCATGCCTCTTTCAGCAGCCAGTCATAAACTGCATCTTTTTAAGCGGCCGTAATTTGGAGACAATCCCCGATGTTTGAACAAACCATGACTCAATGACCATGACGAACTCCAGGTAAGGGTTAAAAAAAATGACCCCTAAAAGTGGAGAATGTACCAAGAATGATCAGATTCTTGTGCGTCTTTCTCATACCAAGGCTGAATTCAAAGAGTCACTCACCAATTTAAAATCAAGTCTTTTTCAGCATATTCCTATCTTAACAATCAACCATCTACAGATTCTACGTCATCCAGTGAGATCGCTCGACATCACACGCATATCCCACTATATACATCTATAACTGGTTGGTGGTTTGGAACATGGCTTTTATTTTTCCATATATTGGGAATGTCATAATCCCAACTGACGAACTCCATCATTTTTCAGAGGGGTCGGGCTCAACCACCAACAAGATAACCATCTATATATATATACCCTTTCTTGTTGGTTTAATGCTCCCAGATTCATCCCTTTCTTGATTTGTTCTCCACAAACCATCAAACCATCCCGGCCGTTGATGGTAGGCCAAGCTGCAAGACCTTGCCCATTCCAATGATGTTGGTGCCCTGCAATGATGTCCACATGACCAGTGGGATGTCTGGAAAATTCATCACTTGTGTTCTGGATCTTCCTGTAATTGTATACAGTATATATATACACTATAACTACATACATATATGTATATATATATATATTACATATGCAAATAATGTCATGTATATGTATGTATGTATGTATGTATGTATGTATGTATGTATGTATGTATGTATGTATATATATATGCAATCGTCGTATATTGTATATATATATATAATAGGTACTGTCTATCTTTTGATATCCTTTGTATAAATATGTGTGTTGTGTGTTTTTCGGCGTTTACACGTTTTCCATTGCCAATTCAGTACGTGGGCCAACTCCTTTGACATGTTGAAGAGGAAACACCGCTCAACCCGGTCTTGGGACCTGATGGAGACCTTCTACCAAACCCAAAGATTGGAACCAAATGTTCAAGGCACCATTTGCCTATTATCAACCTCTAACTAAAGAATAAGATGTATATGGGGGGGTTCTTAGAATGGGAGAAACCCAAAACCATAGGTTTCAATAGTAAAATTGTCTAATTTTGGATGATTTGGGGGTACCTCCATTTTAGGAAATCTCCGTTTGGTAATAGACTATGCATCTACACAGTATCTATGCTTTCTGTCCTCGAAATTAGCCGAAGTTCGACCCATTTGAGTGATCCTTTCTCAAAAAAACAAGTACCTTGCATTTTCGCTCCATGTGCCGCAAAAAACACACCTTTTTTCAAAAAGAGCCCCACTTGTAAGACATGTATAGAACGTACAGGTTCTGCCTTTGTTTTCGCAGTGTACGATTGTCAAATGCCCGTACCGGGTTCTTGCCAACCGCCCCCCCCCATCTGCACAACCTCTTTGAGCATCGACATGACGAACAGGATACAACCTGAGAAGCAGAGAAGGCTAACCAAAACCATGTGTTGTTAGATTTACATATGTTGCGGGATGTTGCGGGTAGATGTATCTATTTATGGGTGATTCAGCTCAACCAAACCTCCCTGGTTTTGGTGGCCAGTAGATTTATGGAAAACCCATTGGTACATCATTTTCCTAGGGAAACCATGGGCTTTCATGGGCTCTAAAAACATCCATGTTAATTACCTTACCTTTGGGATCCCTGGGTTTAGTCGTTGTAATTAAAATCTGGTATGATTACCAGAGGGTATATCATAAATTGTATGATTTTCTGATTTCTGTTGCCTTATTATGTTGCCTTCTTCACCGATTCCAATCTGGTTGTAAACGCCACGCCCCGTAAACCGTATCAAACGGACAGTCCAGATTTTTGGGCAGCATCATCCCAATGAACTAACCTACGCCTCAACAAACTACCCAATTTTTCAATGGGAATTCCAGGATCCGAAAATGGAGGTACTGTACCATAAGGCCATATTTTGTGGTGATATTCCCTTACATAGGCCTTATATATGGTAGGTACCTCCATTTTAGGATCCTGAAATTCCCATTGAATTTTGCTGAAAAGGACTTCATAGATGCTATGGCTGAGCCCGATCATTGAAACACCCCCAATATCTAGGAATTCTATCTACTTATTTCAAACTGTCCTATTCAGTTCAAGTATGTTCAAGTATTCCCCAAAGTTTTTTTTCAGTTTCCCCAGTGGCTCCCCCATGATTTTGGAATCTTTGATGAACGCATAAGGATGAATGTTGTCTCCCAACATGGCACATATCAAATAAAAACATAAGGAGACACGTGCATTGTCACATGTATGTCACACATGTATATATATATATATATATATTTGACAAAGCAAATTAAAAGGACATCGTCCAGACATACAGTCATGGCCCTTTACCAGTTAAAAGTACTTATAACCCCATGTATAGAATATATAATCACATTTATAACCAGTTGCAACTAATAAATTGCCAAAACTGTAAAATATGGCGGCATGCTTTCACCATGTTAGAAATTACAGCGACATCATGGATTGGATGCACATACTGACCTCTCAAACGTATCATGTCGGTCTCGAGGGTGGTCAAGCTACAATTGGCTGGTAGTTACAAACCACCTCAAACATATTTACGGTACTATTTTGATATACCCTCTGGTAATGACTAACATAGCTATCGAAAATGGCCATGTATGGTTGAGTTTTCCCATTAAACATGGTAATTTTCCATAGTTATGTTAGTTTACCAGAGGGTCTTTCTATCATTTGACTGATCGAGTGAAACTAATATGTAATATCAATCACCAGTTTCTGGAGTTTCACAGCAACTATTTGGATGCAGACTTTGTCATTTGCAGCTAAAATGAATGTAAAATGAAGTGCTCATTGAAAAACCTAAACTGGTTGGTGGCTTGAACCCCTCTGAACAATATTAGTCAGGTGGGGTTACTATTCCCAATATATGGGACAATAAAAAATGTTCCAAACCACCAACCAGTAAAATGGTACAGTGCACACAACAAAATTCAGAGTTGACATCTCTCAGAAATGAGCCATCGAATCCAACGACCCTGTCCCTATCCCTGGCCAGCCAGCGCTGTTGAGAGGCATAAAAGTCGGCAGTAGTAACTTTCCAAGCCATACTCTCCGGGATCCTTGGTTGAGCCGCTGGCAATGGAAACTTGGAAGTTCCAACCCATTTGAGAAAATCCACAATAATTGATAATTAGTTATTAATTATCCAATGTATTATCCCCATTTTCAGCGGGTAATCTCCCAATGCATCAAAATTTTGATCACCCTGTTTTTATAGCCAGCGCCGAGGTCATACATCATAGTCGAGGCTAGTTCGTGCGGCATCTGTACTCTCTGAGTACCTTTGCTCTTGATCTCATCAAAGGTCCGCTCATCGAACCTGCTGTCCATGAGCAGCAAGACAAAAAACTGTGGCCCCTGCCGCAGCAGCAGCGTCACATTGTAGGTTCCCCGAAAAACCAGTATTCATTGCTCATATAGATTTCCATTATGGCCAGAGCCAGCCAGAAATTCCCATGAGTTCATACTTGGTGGCTCATCCCACTTAGTAAGTGGGTTATAACCCCAGTTATAAGTGGATTAACCTTACTTATCCCATTTATAACTGGGGTTATAACCCACTTACTAAGTGGGATGAGCCACCAAGTAGTGGGAAATTCAAGTTTTCATTAGATAAGCTATCCCAGTAGAAAATTGGACAGGACCTACCATCCTCAGCCATCTCGAAAAAAATAGCGCTTACTGTCTCCATTGTTATTGACAACGGACCATCCCCATGATTAATTCAATGATTTGTTTTTTAAATATGAGTGTTTATGCACCCCATGATAAACAATATTAAATTATATAATAATTCCATATTATTCCCATTTTGAGCGGCTACTCTCCCAATTCATCATCAATTTTAGTGCACTGTTTTCAGATAGACCCCATGTTCAACCCCAAAACCCTGGATTTTGAGCAACATTTGGCCTCTGGCAATCAATCGCGGCTAGACAATCCACCAATTAGTTCGGGGTGGATTTTACCATCAAAAAACACCAACGTGCTGACGTCAGAGAGTGGCACTGATCCGTTAAGCCAACAGAAAAATAACTCACAGTGACCTTGGAAAACCGCTCATGACCACGAAGGAGTCATCAAATCCCCACTCATATCAGGCTCAACATGTTGGTTGGGAGGTAATTTTGAGGTTTTGCTGTGGCCATTCACAGAATTTGAAAAAAACTGCGTCCCCGAGAGAATTCACATTTGATTCATCATCTCGAAAATTTAAATCATTAAGGAATGGATTCCACTTCATTTATAGTACCATCTGGTTATTTAACATAGCCATGGAAGCCATGGCAGAAATAGATGTTCTTTGATGCTTTACCGAACTTAATAGGCATGGGTGATTTCCCATGGCAAACTGTTGGTCATAACCAGATGGTGAATCGATGTTCCACGAATTTTGGGATGGTGCCTCTCTCATTTTGGCATGACTTATCCTATTCCAGAGTAATCCAGAATAGATTTTAACCTCTGGTAAACATACCAAAAACTGATGGGAAATCACCATTTTTTATTGGGTAAATCCACTATTTCTATGGCCATTTTCAATAGCAAACTGTTAGTCATTACCAGAGGGTACGAGATCGAAGGTCCTATAACGTGGTTTCAAGATATTTTCCATCACACCCCATCATACCCAATTGATCCCAATTGCTATCTTGAAGATTTGGCTTTGGCTGAAATAGGATACCCCCCAAATCCAACTGTTAATCGTTATCCTTGATTAAAATTGGAAAATGGTTGGGTATTCGTGGGTATTTGGGTACACTCTATTTAATTTTCGGACACACCCAAACTATCAGATGATCAGATTACGTTGGTCATATCATATTCTTTGCTCAAATCCCAACCTTGCTGGTTAACATCCCATTTTAAATTGGCTGGTTAAAATCTAGAAATGCCCACTTATATCTGGGGATATGATGTTATTTATATAGTATACATACATGTATATATATATATATTATATAATCCCACTATATCCCCAACTTCTAGCTTAAAGATCACGGATCTCAATCATCCACTTGTTCCAGCTGTTCGTGCCAAGGTACGATGCGCTCGTCGATGTCGTCCTGTGAAATGCGAAACGGAAAGGAATGTTTTAAGACGCTGACAGAATCCAAAAAAAATGGACATGTTCAGATATATTTATATAGATAGGTTTAGATAGGTTTAGATATATAGGTCTAGACAAGTTTAGATATGTTTTAGATATGTTGAGAGATTTGGTGAGAAAATGTGGAAAACCAAGGGGTGGTTCGGTGGGAATCTTACCTGGAAGATTGATGGTTTCAACGGAAAAGTATGATGAAAAGCAGCAATGGCTTAATAACCATACATATTACCCTCACAGGATATATATCAACATATATACGCTTATATGCGTAAATTATACCGTACATTTCTCACATGTATAAAGCTCAAAGATCATCAAACATGTATCTCCCATATTTATAGCTAAAACAATGCTAAAACAAAACTAGAATATCATGAAATACCTAAACAAAAGACAATGAACCAACAATTCACCAATGCCGTTGGCCAGTGCTGCACAGGACTGCGCCTGTTTGTCTGGAAAGATCGCCTTCAGCGATTCCTCAGGGTTTTTCGAAAGCAACAAATCGAAATAACAAGAGAAATTAACAACAACATCAACATGGAATATCATGAAATCATGTTCAACATGTTACTTTCAATCTGGGAATCCACAAAGATTCCAAAAAAAAAGAGGGTTTCAGTCCGAAAAGGCGATCTTCTCCGTATTACATGTACAGTTCCCTAACATAAACTGGAACCCAATGTTAAACGACATGTTTTTTTTGCAAGCTGCAAGGTTCAATGGAATTAAATTAGTCTTCCAGCCTCCAGCCTGATCTGTCTATCTTCAGTGAATTTATCCACCTGAAAAAAAAAAACGATCAGTCCGACTTGCAGCCTCGACTTGCGTAAATACATGTTGTGGTTAGACAAATTCCAATGACATTGGATTCATGACCATCCCAAAAAATATGGATATGCAATCAAAATTTTGATTATGGCTGCTTCTCCATTCCACGAAATATCCGCGCATATCCCCATTACTATCCCATTAAATCACCTCCCGGTAATATCACTTTAAGTCCCAACAGTTTTGAAGGTTAAATCCTCACAAAATCATGAAAAAAAATCCAGCTGTATCTATGGATCTCACTTTTGACCATGGCCCATATGGGGCACCATGGTCTTACCCTGCACGGATTGCCAAGGCGCGCGAACGAAAAGTCCTCAGTTTAGAACTGGAGGTGACTCAGTACATCCCTGAAATTGTGCGAAAAACTCTCTGGTGATTTAATGTACCTATTTTTAAAAATCAGAATGTTTTAATAGGTAAGTGAACTATCAATGGTGATTTTCAATAGCTATGTTGAATTACCAGAGGATGAGTGGTTTCTATCAGGGGTTATCTACTGTAATTTGTGTGTGTGCGTGTGTCTTAAAATGGTTTACATCCCCAAAATGGCTCTGGTTGGTGGTTTTAACCATCTTGAAAAATATGAAAGTCAATGGGAAGGATGACATCCCATATATATATATATATATGGAACAATAATCCAAATGTTCCAAACCAACAACCAGCCAAAAATGGCGAGTTTAACCGGAAAATTATGATGATTCATGGGAATTTCGGGTACTGTTCACACAAATCCACTGGGGTTTATCCGTACAACTTCTGCGGTCTTAACGGAGCTAAATCGAAAATTGGGATATGATTGGAAGCTAGTTTTTTTTTGGTATGAACATTAACTATATTGTACAATACATATATTTATATATATAATTGGGATATGATTCAAAATGGTTGGAACCATGTGATACCTCTCCAAATCTCACCGGAAACAAACAGTCATTGAGCCAACCCAGATGCGAACCATGGTTTTCGGGAAATTTCACCTACATTTACCCTAAAGATGGACCAGTTTTGTAGGTAAATATTCCAGCACCATGGAGCATCTGGGCAAGTTCAAAGATCAATCAAGCTTGGTTTTCCGCTGCACCAGAAAACAGTCACAAGTCACATTCGTAGATTGCCGCAACAAAAAAATCTGCACTGACATCCGCTCAGCAGAGGGAGGTCTACCAGTCTACTGTACATTCTGTATTAATCATGTATTATCTAGGTTCATTTTGAACATTGAACCATCGAAAGAAGAGTCCAAACATTGATTTCAACCATCAAGAAACCATTGTCATTTCCTGCTAGAAAATGGGTACGACAAATTACATTTCAATAGGCAGATCATCCAAGAATGGGCCATCTATACTATTGCTATATGTGATGTGTTTAGTTTGTTTTTTAATGTAAAGAAGCGCATGTGCAACTCGAAACCACGAATCTCCCCCTTCGCTGGGCCAAGAAGCTGGTTGTCCAAATATCGAAACTGTACAGCCGTGGTGGAGTAATTTCAGTCCTGAGAGCCCATGGAAAAAATATGAGGAAACTCACAGCAAATGGATGGGGTCATAGTATGACATAATGAGTTTCAATCTGGAGTAATGAGTAATATCAGTTTCATCCCCAAATTATCTGGTTGCTGGTTTTAACCATCTTGAAAAATATTAGTCAGTTGGGATGATTATTCCCAATATATTATGACCAGTTATCACCATAATCTTAGTTTATAGAACTCCGAGCGGCGCTCCTAATTTTATAGTGGAAATACTTGGGGGATAAAAAATGGAGGTTTCCAACAAGTCATGGCATCATGGGGGTTCCAAATGATCCATTTGATTTTCGGATTTTCCATGATTTTCCAATAAAAAAAACATCCAGCTACTGGGGATCCCCCATTGATGGAACCCCCCAAGATACATCATCCAATCCCTTGATGGAGCCAGGGTGATTAATTCCACCTGGCCTTGAATCTGGCACGTGTCTGCGCCTCACATGACAATAGCCATGTGTGGCTCCTAAACAATAGCGTTCAGTTGGTGCATATAACTCCAATAACTAGGCTTTTAAGTGATACTTATAACATCTTATAACTATACGTAGTTTAATGAATGGGTTTATCAACCAGTTTATAACTTGGGGGGCCACATTGTATCTAATCATATCTGGAACATCCACATACACAATTCACATATAAATCGCACGGATAGATGTATATAGCATATAATAATAATTATACAACAAAAAGTATGAATAGATTATTACAATAATAAGGAATCAACAAAACAATGTTAATCATGAAACTAATAAAAAACAACAACAATAACACCAGTGATAAAATCTACATACATATATACACATATAATCTTACTATGCAAATCACAATAGTCAGCACATTCATGCACATTCTACATATAGACATACATTCTGCACTAATCCTTCCAGTGTCCCAATGGAGGCAAGTTGCCCCGAGGGTCCCGTACACCTTGAGCTGTAGCCTTGAATACAACCGGCGCCCAAGTCGCCTCCGCGCCGGATATGATCCATGGAGCCGCTTGGTGATAAACATGGAGAATTCATCCATATGGATGTGGATCAAAATGGAAGACCTAGGGGACCACAGATGTTAGTCTAGTTTAGTATTAACCATCCAATTATTGGGGTACCTAATTTTGACCCATACCCATATTGATGGTGGGAAGAAAAACACCATTGGATTTTTCAGGATTTGTGTAAACAAAAAATCATGATCTAGAGTTGGAACAACACTTTCTGTCGATTATTTACCTAGATTTATATATGATAACAGCAAAACATGGTGTATCAACAATATGAAATCATTGAGTCTAAGACAAATCAGTAGCCATGGAGATTTATATTGTGAAACTGGGCATATCACCACAAAACTGGAGATTCGTTGTGTTACACGATTAATTGAGTAAGTAAAATGCACTTGAAGTCACAAAAAGCTGGATTTTTGAACATACAGCAAGAAAACAAGATGCTTGTAGTCAACAATGGGGACTTGCCGAGAATGGCGGATCCCATTGAATCCTAGGAGAGGCCTCCCAGCTATGTTTCTTGGGTAAACCGACTGACTCTAGTTATTATATGTTATTACCCATAAACCGAAAGCTTCACCAAATTATGTGCATCAACTTAGCTATCATAAATAAGCTATAAATCCCATGAAATCCCCGTTTCATTGGTTAAATCATCATGGTTTCCAATGGTTTTCCTATGGTTTTCCTATGGTTTTCCTATGGTTTCCGTGGAAGCCATCCACTTCTCCGCTTCTTTGGAACTCTCCAAGGGACAGAGAAACATTTGCCCCGCGAAGGTGTCATAGACGGACTCCTTTCTCGCGAGCATCACCAAGAGACTCACCTCGACAAAGACTGGTGGTTTCAAGTTTCAACCCCTCGGAAAAATATGAAAGTCAGTTGGGATGATGACATTCCCAATATATGGGAAAACAAAAAAAAATCCAAACCACCAACCAGAAGAGGTACAAAAAGCGTCCGCATCAACGGTTTTGAAGGGTTTTGACTCTTTGACCAGTGAAAAACTGGGACAAAAAAACGTCCGATTGCGACTTGGCGACTTGAAATTGAAACTGGGATCTAATGAAAATTGAAATTCAACCAGAAAAAACAATGGTTCTGAACACAACAACATGTGCGTTTTACCAGCCAATTTCCAGACAAACTTTTTTTTTCACGTTGGACTTGTCACCTTCGGGTGCCTTATGAAACAAGAGAAAGGGGAAATGCTGCGGCTGGTTGTTCACCCCAGTTAGATCCAGTGGTTTCCAATCTTCGATGGACCAACCAGTAGGGGGCTTTTCACAAGAACGGCTGAATACCGACTCTACACATACTACCCAGAAGACAGCTATAGCCATTAGAATCCAAAGTAGGTTTTACCAATCGAAATCGGATATGTGACGATGGTAGCTTTTGGATGCTGTTGGATGCTTTTGGCCTTTTGAACCACAAACAAGCTGCTTATCTGTACCCACCATTCTGCATTTGTAGGCACCCATGCTATATCAAACTCTGGTGGTACATAGAATGATCCTAAAGGACTGTGATGAGAAACAATTTCCACCTGACATGGACAATGTCTCACAATGGTTGAGGGGCCAGGGGTCTGAAAGTTTATCGTGATGTTTTCTGAAATGTCCCAACTTGAGTAGAACATGTTGGAAAAGGTATCATCCCCGTAATCATCAACCAACTGTTTCGTTTTGACACTCCGTCATCCTGCTCAGTTGGTGGCGTGATAGCCTGAAAGGCCCTAAGTGTCAGCCTGAAACCCTGCCTGCAAGAAGATGCTCACGGCGATGAGAATGAAACTTCTAAAAGCCTCTCAAAAGCCCCGCCGGAACATCAACATGTCAAATGGGAAGATCATCTCCAAATGGTGCACCCATAAGTGAATTGTCCAGCCATGTTTGACCACACTTCCGGAACGTCGCGTGCCTCAATGGTTAGAAGCCGATGCCAGTTCATACTCCTCACGCAGAGGCGTTTTGCCCCACATGGTCACATGGTTGCTGAAAATTTGTTAATTAGACCCCAAAATCCCGAAAGTGCACTAGGGAGAATGATGGTAAACAATGATAAACCACTGTGGTTTTCTTCCTGGCTGCCATAAACCTGCCATAGACGGGGATCGTAAACACACCGAGCACCTGTGACGTCAGATGAATCGTCAGACATTGGAATTTCACCAGTGAACATTTGGATATTTCCCCAGGAATAAACAGTTTTCTTGCAGCAAAATGGTGACTTGAATAAGTATGAAATTTGGCAATCCTCACTTAAATCAAAATATGACTCAAACATCCATATTAATCCATTGCCATATCCTATCTAAAGATTCATATTCATGTGATGGTTTCCTGAAATGGGGATACCCAATCGCTGGATGGTTTATATATTTCATTGAAATCGTTGTGCTTGTTTAAATGGATGAGTACCCCATGGTACCCCTAGTTAACTTAGGAAACCTCCATGTATATTCACTATTAATCATATTAGTCACTATTCATCATATCTAGTCTCCAGTATATTACTCATTATAGTGACTAATAATGGGATTTATATCTATTCCAGATGCGAACCATGGTGCTGGAATATTTACCGACAAAACTTGGCAATTGTTAATTTAGGGTACAGTACATGTAGGTGTTTATATTCCAGCACCATGGTTCGCATCTGGGATACCTATAAATCCCATTATTAGTCACTATTAATGATTAATATACTGGAGACTAGATATGATTAGTAGTGACTAATGATTCGATTAGTAGTGACTAATAATTCGATATACCCTCTGGTAAATCAACATAGACCCTGAAAACACACCCATTTTTTGGAAACTACTCTTTCAACCCCATTTTTAGCCAGGGTCTATGTTAATTTACTGGAGGGTATATATATATATATATATACCATCTGGTTATGACTAACATAGCCGGCTGGAAAATCCCAACCATAAATGGAGGTTTAGTTAGGTTTATCGCTGGGAAAATCATCTATTTCTATGGACCATTTGTTTATAGCTGGGAAAATCATCTATAAATGGACCATTTTCATCCATTTTCCATGGCTATGTTAAATAACCAGAGGGTATATATTTATTAATAGTGATGACTTAATGATGGGATCCCTATTTTTTCTTTGATCATCCCATTGGACGGTGAGTTTGTGGTGAAAGTGGATCCCACGGGATGTGTTTTTCTGGAGAATTCATGGGATATTCATGGGAGAAATCACTGGAATATAGGTAATCAATGGATAAATTTCGAGAATCTTTATTATCCTGAGTCGATAATGAACAAATATCTATGGCCAATCAATTGATAATCAATGGATCTGGGTAAATTGTAATATTTCACTAACCTGAATAGTTCGGCCATTTGAGGATGATTTCCCTCTTGTTTCCCCTACTCATCATCATTCCAGTGAGGAAGAACAGTCAGGGCGTTAGAATTTACTAGATGATCATCTATTCTCATCATAATCATCATTTTCCCATTATTGGCTATATATTCCCATTCATTCCCATATATTGTTGGTTATATCAATATCATCCCATCACATCCACTACTGTTAGATACTGTTAGTAATTATATACCCATTAAACACACCTGATTATTAAACATATCCGATTAACCCACAACAATAGTCCATAATCAATTTTCCCATCTATCCCAATATACACATCAATTGATAGAATATAAAATATTCAGAATAACCTATCTCCGATCACCAGTGGCAATTAATGGGAATTAATGGGAATATATGGAGCAGTTATATAGCATGTATATACCATTTATGTACCATTCATATACCATTTATATACCATTTATGGATATTCCTGAGTTATATGCCATTTATATACCATAGTTATATACCATAGTTATATACGATAGTTATATACCATAGTTATATACCATAGTTATATACCATAGTCAATAGTTATATACCAATTATATATCATTTATGGTTACTATTCCCAATAGAATGGACAAATAAATTTCCCATTATGGTTGGAACCAGCTGAATTCCCAATAACATTCCCATTTGGCATTATAGGGATATATTGGGAATATTAGAGGGATATAATGGAAAAATAAAAGTTCCAGTAAATTAACATAGACCCTGGCTAAAAATGGGGTTGGAAGACTAGTGAAACCACTATAAATTGGTCATTTTCAGGGTCCAACTGTTAATTTACCAGAGGGTATATCGAATTATTAGATATTATTAGTCACTCCTAATCGAATTATTAGTCACTACTAATCATATCTAGTCTCCAGTATATTAATCATTAATAGTGACGATCAAGTTATATTCCCTATAATATTCCCAATATATCCCTCAGGATATTCCCAACCATTTTCTTCGCTCCTGGCCAGCTGGGGCATCAGGATCGCAGCGCCGTAAATCCTAGGAAGAACAACCAGGGCCCCGTGAGGCGCCCCCCCACGAAACCACCACGGAAACCATGGGAAAACCATGGAAAAACCATAGGAAAAGCATAGGAAACCACTCCAAACCAGAGGAAAACCATAGGATAACCATAGGAAACCGCAGGAAAACCATAGGAATACCATCGGAAATGATCAGAATGAGATTTCAACCTTAAAATATGGTTTTTAAATGTTTTTAATCGTGGAATATTTAAGTCCACCGGGGGTAGAACCTAGTCTTCATAACAAGCTAGCATTCATTGGTTTATAAACCAACAAACATAGTGGCCGCCCTCATCTGGTAGTCTGGTAGAGATGTAATAGGCAAATAATGGGATATAGCCAACAACCTGGGGAACTAGTGGGGATATACTGAGTTTATAACCAACAATATGACGTCTGGGTTCGTCTATGTTTGTCTGAAACATGGATGATTTTATGGCCGACCAAAATTGGAATTTTTCCAACAAATATGATGATATACTGGGGATAAAGAACCAACATGGTGATATGTTGGAATGATTGCTGTACATTGTTGTGATTTGGGGATATGCTCCGTGTTTAAGCAACAATAAATGGGTATGCCTTGGAGATTTATGTATTGGGGATATGATGAGTATATAAGTTTTTTTTCAGCAACAATATGATGTTTATCTGGCTTTCTCTGAAACATGGGCCGTTTCCCAATATAGCCACATGATCATTGGATAGTAGGAATGATTGATCAATGGATTCAAACAAGCCTAGTCCTGCAAGGTGGGGCTTACAATAACTACAGTTATAGCCCTGAAGAGAACAGGTATGGCTTATAACTTTTTGTTTTTAGTGACATTAATAACTTTTGTTTAAGGGCCATAACTGCAGGGCTTAAGGTGAATATACCTCAAGTTGTACTGCGGATGTACATCCCAATTGGGAAGTGCTTTGCAGCCTTTTAGAACCATAGAAATAACGTTATAACATGGTAAACCCCCATAAAAGAGTAAACTCATATTTATTGTATTCATTCATATAGACTTTGAAATGAAATCAATCACATCTTTACTGCAAAACTGTTTTGTATCATCAAACCAGTATTATTTTTTAGCACCCATTGGTCATTCAACAGTACACAACGGATGATCAGCGTCGATCCCTTCTCAACGAAACATGAACCCGCTTCGCCTCAGTGGGATAGGCGAGAGGTGGGGTCGTTACAATATGGACCTGTAAGGTTTAAGTGAACCCACAATGTGAGGCCCCCAAGATAGTGTTCAGTTGGTGCACATAACTCCAACAACTATGGTTTATGGTACTTATAACTATAGTTACTGGGGCATATAAACCAACTTAAAACTGGGGGGGCCACATTGCAGCAACCAACCAGTTCATAGATGTTCATGGGGACTTATGCAACAAATCTGGGAACTATGACAACACAAGGCTGTGTCTGATTTTTGTTGGGTGATGGTCCCGGAAAATGATGATTACTTTAACCAGGGAATTTTGGAGATAACCTATGTTCAAACAAAGCCATGTGAACACCGGATATCACAACATAACTTCGCAGTTCATTTCGTTGCTGTGGGATTTTAATGGATTTTCTGGGTTTCAACGAGGGTGTCACCCAAATACAATACATCAATACGGCATTTTTTCGGACATCGTTCTTTTTTTTCTCCGAAACTCATCCACCGCTAAGCAATATTCTTTTTGAGTCGCAGAGCGATCATCATTTCATGAAGGATACCCTCTGGTAAACATACAAAAAACTATGGAAAATCACCATTTTTAATGGGAAAATCCACTATAAATCACCATTTTCAATAGCTACGTTAAATTACCAGAGGGTAGTTGACAGGGGGCTATGGCTTAGAAATCCCCTCTGGTAATCAGCCACATGGCTGGGAAATCCCCTACATGGAGGTTTAGTTCGCTGGGAAAATCATCTATAAATGGTCCATTTTCCATGGCTATGTTAAATAACCAGATGGTATATATTTATTAATAGTGATGACTTTATGATGGGATCCCAGATTTTTGTTTGATCATCCCATTGGCTGATTTTCCAGCAAACCAGGTGTGGTTACCGGAGGGTAATAACTCTACAGTATCTCCAGCAGCAGACATGGTTTCCATCTTCTATTTTTCTGTAGCAACCACGGTTGGCACAGAACCTGCATCTTGAAACAAACATGGAGGACATTTATTTTTGGGCTATAGCCATAATACTAAGTCAAATCCCTTTGTTGAGATGTTTTTTCTCCGATAAATCAGCCTCCCCATGTGCTTTGCCGAGACGCAAATCTCCAAAGCACCAAGCCTTGAGAAACAAACAATGGGAATGAATATGCTGTTGCTGTATTTGTTCTTTGTTAGTGCAAATATCAATCAGTCAATGTATATATATATAATGGATATAATATCATATAATATCATGATATATTATGATATGATATATATATATACATATATATATTATAATGTTTATTGTTTATCCATTATCCAATGAATAGAATGGTGATGAATGTTGGGGATATAGCATGATATGTCATGGAAATAGCATGGAATATCTTGGAAATATAGTATATTGGAGGAATGACCTAAGTTCATTCAATAGGGAAAGTAATTAGGGGCAATGTCCAGTTATTTCATTGGGGTGAACCAACGCACGAACACGATTTCTCGGTGGTTCATCAAGTATTTACCATGGTCAGCCACAACTGGAGGAGTATGGCATACGATGACCTGGTCATCTCATCATCAATGAGATTCCTTGGCAAGTATAAATTCCCCGTTGGCCCAAAATCGACCAACCCCATCTTATGGGAAAATACCCTCTGGTAATGACTAACAGTTTGCTATTGAAAATGGCCATAGAAATAGTGGATTTACCCATTGAACATGGTGATTTTCCCATCAGTTTTTTGTATGTTTACCAGAGAATAACCAAGAATTGACCATGGCACGTATGACCAACAAGTTCAACGATGAACCCAGGAGAAACATGGGCGGGGCCGAAATCAACCATTTCAGTGTTAGCAAACCCAGACTCAGTAGACAGTAGACCTGTGACCGATATTGATATACACCTGTAGCGAAGTTGTGATGAGAAAAAAACATGGAGATTGTCATTTGGGTCTGTCTGATAAAAGGGGATAGTCACCGAAACTTGGGGTACAGTTACGGCCCTTAACAGTTATAAATGGGATTATAATGATCTATAACCTTAGTTGTAGGAGTTATATGTCCATTTATAACTCTTAATGGCCATAACTGTACATACCCTATTTTCAGACACACCCATGTGATGTGCCCAAAGAAGCTGCTGTGCCCAAAACACTCCTGTTGGATCAGTGATGAAAACACGGAAAAACTATGGTGGAATCTCATCAATGTTTATAGGTACCCTCTGGTAAACTAACATAACTATGGAAAATCACACAATCTTTAATGGGTAAATCAACTATAAATTGTCCATTTTCCATAGCTAAGTTAAATTACCAGAGGGTAAATCAATTCCTCTATAGAGATAGACCATGTTCATCCATATCATAGGGATATGTTATATATATATATGTCCTCCGTACATAGACCATGTTCATCCATATTCATCCATATTCAATTTTCATGTTCATCTATGTTCATATTCATATATGATAACATATTCATATCTATATTCATTTCTAATGTTAATCATATTCATCCATACATATATTCCATATCATATTCCGAATGTTAATATTCATCCATACTCATATTCATATTCAATATATCATATTTCTCATATTCATCCATATTCATATTCATATCATATTCCAAATATCCATATGTTTAATGTTCATCATATAACATATTCATCCATATTCCAAAGAATCCATATCATATTCCAGATGTTAAATGACGGCTGAGGCTTTGCCCATCAGATCCATCGAGATCCATCGATCCTTTGCCGACAAAGGGGCAATTTGGAGCGAGCCAGAGATGTTGGGCCTGGAGCCACCAGCGTTTCAGGAGATGGTGGGATCTGAACAATGACATTTCGATTGAAAACCAACACATTCCTTTGGCATGTCAACATTTGAAAACCAAACGTTGGTTTAGTGAGGGAAAAACAAAAAACATGTCTTTGGATCTACTTATCAGTTTACTAGGTATCACGGAATAATCCAAGATGTGAACCTCGCTCTAGACCAAGCACTGTGTTTTTATTGGATGACAGAGGTTTCAAAGGGTAAATCGGTAAATCACGTGAATATGATCACCAACTCGTCACTCATGGGTTGCTGAGGTAACTGCACCAAACCAGCATATGGTGATGGGTCAAAACCTATTACTGCATTGAAGGGGATGAACATCCACCGACTATTTCAGGGTTCAACAAAAGGCTACTGGAGTTTTGACTCACACCCATATGACTAAAAAGAGGATCAAAGGTTTTGTCTTGGCAACATATCTTTCAATACCGAATCATCACCGTGCTTACACATGTTTCAACAATATACCCTCTGGTAAACATACAAAAAACTATGGAAAATCACAATTTTTAATGGGAAAACTCACTATTTCGATGGCCATGTTCAATAGCAAACTGTTAGTCATAACCAGCAGGTAATACAACTTGGGGATTCTGGTGTAGCAGTAATTATGGCGATAGATTGGTTGAGAATATATCATAGGAATACATGTCACAATCATTCTCTCCAGCAAACATGGCAATTTTCATCCTATACTCCCAATATATAAAAACATTGTCATTGAGTCAATTCAAACTCATCTTTATTTTTTTCCGAAAACACAAAAACAATCCTTAAAAATGGTGTTTATCCTCTGGTTAATTAACATAGCCATGGAAGCCATGGCCCATAGAAATAGATGATTTTCCCAGCGAACTAAACCTCCATTTATTAGGGATTTTCCAGCCAGCTATGTTAGTGATAACCAGATGGTAATATACCCTTTATATCTCCCATAAATCCATGTTTTTCCTATTAACAATGGTGATTTTCTATGGCAAACTGTTAGTTGTTAGTTCTCACCATTTTTGGGTTCGGCAAACCATCTATTTCGATTAGGGCCATGGCAAATCACCATGGCGAAGTGTAACAATCATAACCAGCTTTGGTAACGGCTGAACCCCTAACCATCACCGCGTGTCGCGCCGCCTTCGTTCTCGAGAAAACTCACCTCGTAGCGCTCGTCCTTGCAGACCTCGGAAAGATGCTGAAAGATGCTGTAAGACTTTGATAGACCTTCTAAGATACTGTAAGACTATCTATTACTATCTATTACTTTCTAATACTATCTATTACTATCTATGAATCTGTATGATACTATTAGACCAAATAGACCGTCTAGAGAACGATTACTGTAAGATACTGTAAGACTTTGATAGACCTTGAAAGATGCTATTGAGATGCTAGGAATCGAGGGGGGTTCCCACCGATGCATGAATATGCATGAATGAAATGAGCGTGAGCGTGACAGTCTGGGAAAGCAGTACGAACTTCCCCTTAAGAACCCGCTAATCAATAAGCATGTGCAAGAATCAATTGCCAGACTTTCCCTGTCTCGGCAGCTTTCCCTACCTCACTGGGCCTGGCTAAGAATAGATGGCGAATAAGCCCTCATTAGTCTCATTAATGGTTGTTGGTGGTCAATTAGCCCTTAATAAGTCCTTAGTAGGCCCTTAAGAAGGACCTTTTGGAGGGCTGCTTAAATATCTTAAATCCCATGAACATTTATGCGCGAAAACAGACAACTCTTCAAATATGATACGGCAAATGATTTCTCCCTTGAAGTGGGATGCCCCCCGGAAAATCACTCTGTGTCATCGGGATGCACCAACAAAAGCGACGCTTTTTAACTGACCAAAACTTCAGAGGGCTTTTTTTGGCCATGTTTTCAGTGCTTTTTTTGGAACTTATTCACAACCAACAGCCATTCATGAGGGTTTACCAACTTTACTGGTTTCCTAACATCCTGCGATGAAAATCTGGCGACCTTTCAGGGGATCCGAAAAGAATTCCCGGTTGCATCACCTCGCAAGGTCTTAGAAAAAGCGGTTTACCAAGACTCAAAACATTGCAACAGTTAAATAAGACCTTATAAAAAAAAAAAACTGCGAAAAAAACGGTTTACCTTAAGCTCCTATTGTCAGTTTCTGTACGGATGCCTGATTAATC